AGAATGAGAACACTGTTACTGTGTCACAGAGTTTCTACACAGTCACTCATGCTCACCTTGCAGCTGTCTTAAGTTCATTACCAGAGCAAATAACCAACACCCAGACTCCACCCAGGCCAGTCTTTCACGCACTGGACCCGGAACAGAACCGGAAATGTGACAGCAGCTTAAGAACTACTTGCAAACGAATGGATTTTCCAAAGGAAACAAGAGAAAGAATAAAAATGAGTCTAAAGCAGCCTCACGTAGGATCTGCCTGTGGAAATTACTTAGGCGAATAAGTAAATACAATTCAGTCCAAATTCAAGCTTCTCAGGTTTGAGAAGCAATGGGGGAGGGGCCGAAAAGGGAAGCTGAACAATTCATTTTAGAATGAATTAAAAGAGAAAAGGAGTTCTAAAGAAGCAAAATGAAGCATCTACTATCAAAACCCAACATAAACCAGAAGAAAGCCCAGCATGCCCTAACGACTTTATATAATTAAGTTATCCATCTGGCCCTAGGGAGAAGGCTCAGGGATAAAGCACTCGTCCTCCAGTGTGCAGCCTGTGTTTGCATGCCAGCACTCAGCACCCACATGAAGGCCAGGCAGGCACGGTGGCCCGCCTGCAATTCCAGCACATGGGAGGTAGAAGCTGGATTTCCAGAGCAAGGTGAACAGTAGGAACAGCCGGATTAGTGAGCACTGGCTTCAACCAGAGAGTGACTGAGGAAAAGATCTGGTGTCAACCTCTGGACTCCATGTGCTTGCAAACCTTTACACGCATGTACCCATACAAAGGCATGCACATATACCACACATACAATTATTCACTACACACGCACATACTTTCACAAATAAAAGTTAGCATAATGATGCACAACCCATAAAAGCATTTACTGAACACTTTGATTCTAGACATTATCGCATTTAGTTACACATTCCAAGAATGCTAGCCAGTTTACTCCATGGCAGAGAGACACCATTTTGTTTGTTACCTGGGAGAAAATAAAAGTCCTTATTACAAGCGGAGCTTTAATGCCCCGAGGTCATTTTGTCCACAATTAGGAGTAAAACACTGACCACTGTTATAGAGCACTCAGTGCTTTCTGGGGTGCTTGTTTTAAAGCAGGATCTACCGACGCTGCCCATGCGGGTCTCACACTTGGGCTCATGGCAGTCTCCTGCCTCAGTCACCCAAACAGCTGGAATGACAGGATCTATTAATGCACCTGAATCTATCATCTGAAATTTAAATAAAAGCTGCTTTCTTTTTATTTTAACTATTATTGTGTTTTGTCTCTTTCATCTTTGTAAGTTAGGATGAAGATGGATAATGCCCTAGGGAATGACAATGAAAGCCGGCGGCGTGGATGTTGAAGTGACAATACCAGAGGACACATGGAAGAAACTGCTTCTGGGTTAGCAACTGCTCTGATAACCTGGATCCGCAAGCCTGGCATGAGTGAGAAAATACTTCGGCATCAGTGAACTCACATCCTTTTCCATACAGATGCACAACGGACAGCTACCCAGTGCTTGCTTTTATTTTTTTTTATTAAGGATAAAGTTTATTTTAAATTATGTGTATGTGCACCTGAGTGCAGGTATCCATGGAGACCAGAGGAGGGCGTCAGGTCTCCTGGAGCTGGAGTTATAGGCAGTTGTGAATGACCACGTATGGATGCTGGAAACCAAACCTGGGGTCTCTGTAAGAGGAGCACATCTGTCCAACCTCAGGGCATGATCATTCGGAAATTATACATACATAAGCTGATTTCTGGTTCTGGTTTCACTGTTTTAGAGAGGGTCTGCTGTGGAGCTAGGGTTCGTTCAGTACGGTCCGAGCTGGCCCCAAACTGTCAGCCCTCCTGTCTCATCTCCCAAGGGCTCAGACTGCAGACCTGCGATCCTTGGATAAGCTTAGCTGTAATGGCATCAGCGCTAAGTTTAACTTTGAGATTTGTTCACAATAAGCTGTTATGTAAACATAAATACAAGTTATAAGACATGTCATGCTATCCAAATTATAGGCGCATTCCCGAAAATCATGGAAATTCAATTTTGGCAAATTCAATAAGTCTTTTAATTCACTAGAGAAGAAATCTTACAACAAATTAATTTGCAAAATGATAAATCCCATATGTGAAAAATGAGCATATTGGTTTAAGTAAAGTGAACATAAAAAGAAAAATGAGCTCGAAATTTACTATTTTATGCATGCATGTGCACATACATGTTAATGTGTGTGTGAGTGCACGCACATGTGTGTCTATGTGGAGGCCACCTTCCTTAACTGATGTCCACGTTTTGAGACAGGGTGTTTCTCTGCACCTGGAGCTCTCTCTTAGATGGGCTGGCGGGCACATCCCAGGAACCCTCCCGCCTGCCCTCCCGACACCCATGTTACACACGCTCCTCCGTCCTTGACTCTTACATAGGCTCTCAGACATCAAACTCGGGTCCCCATGCTTTCACTAGAAGCGTGTTAGTGAATAAGTTATTGTCCCCAAATTAATTTTTATGTCTTAACCTGCCCTTATAAAAACACACTTTTAAATAGATTTAATATTGTAAATGTCTGAGCAGTTGTGTGTGAGATGCTGTCTGCAACACGTCATTCAAACGCTCACACCAAGACTAGGAAGTAGGAAGGACTTTGCGTGTTTTTAGAGAGAAAAAAAGTGAAATTTCATACAAGTGAAATATGTTTACTGAACGAAAACACTTCAAATCTGGGCTGACAGAGTTTGCTACAACAGGATGGTAGACCCAGGGCCCACAGCCTGCTGTTCATTACCCGGAGTTAGTAAACAGCTGACCTGCTTCTCAGCAAGCTCTGGACTGGACAGACTGGAGATTTTCTGATTTGGAACATTTGCTAAGGTGCATGCCATTCACCTGCAATTATTATTATTATTTTTCAATCAGTATTAAACATCTCATGATCAGACTACACAACTAACTTGTCACTGAGTATTGAGTGGAGATCTACACAGGGCAGACTGGGGACGGAAATGCGCATCTTAGCAATCAGTGGATAGAGCTGTTTGGAAATCTGTCTACTGGACAGAGGGAAGGTTTTAGGAAAATGATCATTTCAGAGCAATATTTTTTTTCCCTCATTGTATGACACAGATTATTTTGGTACAACCATCCTTTCATTTGGAGCTCATTTTACCTACTTTCACCTGCTGCTGTCAAAGCCTCAGAAGATATGAATGATTATCTTCCAAGACATGAAAGACACTGTTAAAAACATCAATACATGTTAGCTTACTGTCATTTATCTAGATACCCTGGAGAGTTGTGGGGAACAGTAGTCTTTGCCTTGCTATGGCTACTACCACCTATGGCAAAGCTAAATAAATCAATGTAAATATAATTTCAAGAAAAAAACATAAGGGTTTTATACTACATTGGCGTTCTAAAAACCCCTCCAAATAGTCTAGTTATTAATTTAGAAACTCATGAGGAGCGCTGCATTAAGAAATAATTCTCACAATCCTACAGAACAACAGAAAATCTGAAAACACGCAACACCTGAGATTCTCAAGCCAGCTCTAGAGACGGCTACGTATTACCACTACGAACAATGAGGTGATAGAACTTTATGGCTGTAAAACACCAAGCATCAAAACAAAACAAAAACAAAAATAAACAAATAAAATACCACACATCTACAGCCACGTCCCTAGCAGAGTGTTTTAAAGTAGATCTCAATGCGCTCTGCTGTGTTGTGTGTTCTGGAAGCCAGTGAGAACATCAATCAATGTCTTCATTAAGCCACATAGAACTCATATAACTAGAAAGATGCAGCGAAACTCAGAAAAGGGTTTAAGAAAGACATCACATTTGCTTGAAAGTTAAGTCCAATGTGGGCCTAAGACTTGGCTATAAAAGATAAACACTATAAATTTGTTAGATGAGAATTCTCAACACTTTTGCCTGAATTTAAAGAGTTTTAGAAGGAAAAGATTAGAAATGGTTTAAAATCCAGTCTTGTGCCTACTGAGTCAAGATAAAATACCCAAGCGTCTTGTTTACACCGGGCTGTTGAGCCGATGATTCTCTGTAAGGAGTCTGTCCAGGAAGTGCAGCACTAAGAGCTAGAGTTGGCCCTGCCCACCGGGTGGTGGACACCCAGCATTCCGCTGATGGGAGCAGGAACAGTAATGCCTGCTGGGGGTTGTTAAGGAAGGGGAGATGACCCTAAGCGACTTTGTAACTTGGGTCTGATTCAACGGTTTTCCTTTCTCCTGCCTCTGGTCTAAGCAGGCAAAGAATTATATACAAAGTAACCTCATAGGCAGGAAGTTTGTAAAAAGTCAAGTTCTTTAAGAAAGTATAAAAAAGAGTTCTACACTGTTCTCTTTATCAGAAAACTCTAAGAAACAAAATAACAGATGAAGAAAAAGCTCAATTTGTTTCAAATTTTATCCCAGCTTGAGTTTAGCCTGTGGAAAGCGCTACATTTATGGCTGATGTGGGGAGCGGGTGCCCTTCTCCCTGCAGTTCACTCCTAGTTAAAAAACAACAGAGCATGCTCATTTTTTTTTTCTCCTTTAGGGAAACAGTCATTTTGGTTTCTGCTATGATTTGCTAAACAAGGACAGCAGGCTTCCCAGGGGCTATTGATAGATTAAAGACTGTTTTAGAAAGCGATGCTGAGATACATATATACTCTCTCCAGCAATTCCCATAGCTATAAAGATACTCCATTCAGAAGCTACAGAACAACCAAATGTACGATACAGAGTAGAGAGATCCCTCTGGCCTCTTCACTTAGACCAGAGCTGGGAGTTCAGTTTGGAGCCTCGGGCTCTGCGCTGCTCTCAGCAAGTTAGGAAGCCTCCCTGCAAATCCTCCGGGCGTGGAACAAATGGATAAAGAACAAACGAGTTCAAACTGTCCACGTCTTCGTTTGTGTATATGCCAAAGAGAGATGTCTGGACCTTAAATGGCAGGGCTGCGATGATAAATGCACGTTCTTCCGTTAGTGAGTAAGCTAACTCAATAAATATTAGCTACATCTCACTGAGCAAATAGCCAACAGCTGACAAAAATATAAACGGCCAAAATGTCAATTGTAAATAATGAATCGGAGTCAATCACCAAACCTAAAGCACAGAAGGGCTGGACACTGGAAGACGGTGAGCCAGGCCTTTCCAGTACCCGCCCGCAAGCAAAAGCATTGATTTAATCCGAGTCTCACACAAAGACACATTCCCAAGAGCTAAGGAAACCAGGTGAGCATGAGGGTGACCTGCTGAATTCAGGAAGATGCATCAGAAAGAGCAGTGTGCCACGTGATGTGTGTGTAGTGGACAGGTGCACATTCCTGTCACCCAACCCCAAGAAGTACAGCAGACAAGACAACTCTGGTTAGGATAGAACAGAGAAGTGGGCTGCCTCAGAATGTACACAAAGACCACCCCAGTCAGACCCAGCACTGTCTAAGCCTTGGCCAGTACCAAAGATAGAATTTTCAAGCCCACTCGTTGTCTGGTCAGACAAGCCTTGCAGATGTCAGTACCATACCTGCCACGGTGCCAAACTAGCCCAGAGACTCAGAATCCAGGCCAAACCTAAGCAGCTTCTAATGTTCTCATAATCCAAGGCTCTTAGAAGACCGCTGCAGACCTGACCATCAGATTTGTTGGAGTTGGACCAGGCCTCCGCCCTCAGACTCAGGCTTCACACCCATCCCAGCAGACCCAGGGCCCAGAAACGGACAGACCCGCAAAGCCAGACTGTGCAAATCCAGGCGCAAGGTCAACCACAATTTAGTCCCTGCAGCCTTGTGGTGTAGGATGGTCTACTCTATCTAAGTCTTCCCTTGCAGGGCCAACCCAAGGCCCATATACACGGCAATCAGCAAGTCCTGCTAACTGGATCCAAGCTCTATGCAGAACATAGCCACGTGGTGGCCCAGGCCATGGGAGGTAGAAGCAGGTGGATCTCTGTGAGTTCAAGGCCAGCTCTGGTCTACAAGAGCTAGTTCTAGGACAGGCTCCAAAGATACAGAGAAACCATGCCTTGGGGGAGAAAATTCAACTGAAATTTTGGTTTTTTTTTTTTTTGCGGGGGGGATTGGTGTCATAATCACAATAAACTTGACTAAGCAATCTCAGAAACTTCTAGAATACTAATTCAGTTGAGGAGGGGTACAGGGCTGACGGTAACCGAATCAAAGCGGTTCTAAGGTGTCTCAAGGCAGCTGAAGAGGGTCATGACCGTGAGAATCAAGGAAGGCTGTGACTCTTGCTTCGCTCTGTTAACCTACAAGCAGGAAGGCGACGACATTCGCCGGTGGCCCAGGACCTACCTCCTCACAGACTGTGGAAAACCGGTTGAGAAACTGCACCGTGTGCACCACAAACTGGTTGAGAAAGGCCACGGTTCTTTTCTGCTGAATAGCTGGCACCTGCGTTGTGTAAAAACAAACAAACAAACATGGTTCTTACGGGAGAAACATACACTGTGCGATCCTTTGGGTATCTGGATTTCACAAAGGGCATGGTTTTGCCCTGTGCCGTGAATTTCACGCAAGGATTAAGATAGTTCCTGCTTTGTTTTTCCCGAAAATTGTGTGTGTCAAAGTGACAGGGGATGCATAAAGTTTGAGAATGTGTTTCTACACACACACACACACACACACACACACAGAGAGAGAGAGAGAGAGAGAGAGAGAGAGAGAGAGAGAGAGAGAGAGAGAGAGAGAGAGAGAAATGGGGTGGAGGGGAGGGCAGCTTGAGGGTCTAAGAGAGGCAGTGTTGGAAGGAGCACTATCTCTAGACTCTCATCCTTGGGCGTACAGACACGTGATGTGGGGAGCAAAGGCTGCGAGGCACACCAGACTCTTTAATTAGCTCAGGATGGGCCCCTTTCGAAGTGGATTGCGGGGCTCCCCCTTTCCCCAAGTTAGCAAAAGAGGGGCCCGGGTTGGGCCTGGAGAGGTGGCGTCTCGCGGGGAACCGGGGCCCCTTGGCCAAGCTCCTCCCCTGTCCACCGGAAGCTGAAGTCCATCTTTTACAAACCTTGGTCAGGTCTATGCCTGAGCCCATGAGAGGAAGCCCATCCTCATCCATCTCCTCAGCGGATGGGGACCCCGGGGCTCAGGCACAAGCCCCTCCCAGCCCGGTAGAGAGCCCCGACTCCCTTCCCAAGTTCCTGCCTCCGGGGCCTTTCCGGAAGAAAGCGCCTGAGCTTACCAATCATTAGTCGGTGGCTCCGGAGAGCCCGCCCCTTCGCTCTCGCTCAGTATTCTGGGGTTGGTAGTTCATGATAGGAAGTGTAAGGTTGGCACAGGGAAGCGAGGCTGAAGAGCAGTTGATTTTAGCCGTAAAATCTGAAAAATATCTGAAAAGAGAGGGAAAGGGGAGAGGGAGAGACTGAGAGATGAAAGAGAAGATCTCTGCCTTCAAAGAATAGTATAGCGAAGACGTGCAAAATTTAGATGGATGTGCCAACAAAATCCTGCGGAAGTTGTGGCATTGTAAATTAGCGCACACAGACACTACATGTACCCACAGGTACATGCACCCACCGTGGTACTGTAGATAATAGGAGCTCCTAAGTTGTCCAAGTAAAAAAGAGGAAACCAACTTTAGTAGCTACTTAACCTTAAGAGGAGCTGAGATGACAATCTGGACTGAAGAGAATAGCATGTAGGGCAAAGGGAAAGCCATCTGTGGTTAAGCAGAAATGCCCGGAGGTGCAGAATAAAGAGAAATCAAGCAGAAGTAGACTCAAAGAGCGGGTGAAGGGCCTTTTATGCCAGAATAAGGGTCATGTTTGTCAAAGCCTGGCAGTAGCGGCGGCGCACACCTTTAATCCCAGCACTAGGGAGGCAGAGATAGGTGGATCTCTGTGAGTTCGTGGCCAGCTTGGTCTACAGAGTGAGTTCCAGGTCAGGCTCCAAAGTTACACAAAGAAACAAACAAAACCAAAAACAAAACCCCCAAAACCCACAAAAAAAATTGTCTCGAAAAACAAAAAGAAGAAGAAACAAGAAAAGGAAAGAAAGAAAGAAAGAAAGAAAGAAAGAAAGAAAGAAAGAAAGAAAGAAAAGAAAAAAATGTTGGGAGTGCTTCTTAAAAGGCCTATTCCAGAGATTAAGCTCAAACTAAACCAGGATCCCTTTGGGATAAACCTTGATGCCTGTGTACCACACCCTGGAATTGTTCTGAACTGTGCTGTCTTCAGCAGCAAGGTCTTAGTGTCAAGTTCTATACAACCTCAGAAGCCAGTAATACTAAAAAATGCAACCCATTCCTAATACTAGACTTTTTGTTAGCAGCAGTGCCTGTAGTATCTAGTAAGGGCATTGTTGCCTTATAATAGGGTAATTCCATTCAAATTATGAACTGCATAGATACATACATACTTACATACAGATATGTGTGCATATATACAGCTTAGGAACCTTCTACAGTAGTCGGTTTCCATATGCCTTTCCCAAAAGATCTTTAGCGTTGGTTAGCCTAACTAACCAACTAAAAGATCTTTGGTGTTAGTTAGCCTCCCCACCCGAGTCCCTCCTCTACCCCACCCTTATATGTTTTCAATATCCAGTCATTAGATGGCAGACATCTAGATGGCTTCCACTTCCTGGCTGTCGTGAATATAGCAGGAGCAAACATGGATGAACCGTACCCCTAAACGGGATATAGACCTCAGGGTATACGCCCAAGAGTGGCAGAGTCAACATGTGGCGCATCTATCTCTAACTTTTGGGGGATCTTCCCAACTGATTTCCAAAACAGTTGTAACAGTGTGAACTCCCTCTGCTAGTTCCCCTTTTCCTGCAGACGACATCTGAAACCATTTGGTTATTTTAATCTTAGCCTTTCTGACGGGGGCAAGACAAAATCTCCAAGTAGATTCCATTTCTATTTCCCAGGGGGCCAAGGAGGGTGGACATTTAAAAAATGTTTGTCTGCTATTTGTATTTTATCTCCAGTGAATTCTTCAGTTTCGTTCCGTGCCCTGTTTACTGAATTTCTTGAAGTAAGTCAGATATTAAGTCTGATGCACTGATTAGCTGCTATTCTCACAAATTCTCTGCACGTCTTTGGCAGTGTTTTGTTCATGCTGGTAATGTATTTCAACAGTGGGATCTGTTCCACTCATTGCTGATGCTTTACTGGCTAAGTTTGTGTAATGCTTTCTTCTTTCAGGGGTGTTCACCACCTTCTCTTTGAGTGGATTCCATCGAAGAACCTTCTCGCTTTGCTAATTAATTAAACATCCCCCTCTGTTGAAGAGTCTTTCACGAAATTAACGGTAATTCAGTCGCATCTTCAGGCTCCCATCCTAACTCCAGTTCCCCTGCTGTGCCTAGCATCTCTGCAATGACCCCTTCACTGAGACTTGAATTATCTCAGGCCACCCATGCTTTGGAATCTGCTCCTTGCACACTGCTCCCTTCCTTCCCTTTGGGACTGACTCTCCTGTAGCCCAGCTTAGCCCCAAACTCATGTAAAGGAAATGAACTTTGAACTCTTGAACTCCTGCCTCCCCTTCCTAAGTACTGGAATTACAGGTGTGTGCTGCCATGGGCAGCTCAATTTTTCTTGGCGTTGACATTCCGACCTCTGCCCATGGATCACAAATGCTCTAAGTGGCGTTTAGTGCGTTCTTTTGGGGGTTTTCAGTTTATTTTGCCAAGATCCACAAGAATTGGTGTGTAAGATGCTGCAGCCCCGCTCTTCCTTCTTCCTTCCCCAGTCTCCTCATTCCCTCCCTCTCCTTTATTTCTCTCTTGCTTCATTCTCTGAGACATGGCCTTGTGTATGCCATCCCGAACCCAAACTCATTAAGTAGCCCAGAATGACATTGGGTTTGTGATCTTCCTGACCCTATGTCTTGAGTTCTGGGAATACAGGTGTATGGCACTGATATACAGGTGTATTGATGGAGGAGGGTTATCTGTCTATTGTGTTATTTTCATTGGTCAATAAAGAGACTGCCTTGGCCCCTTGATAGGACAGAAAATTAGGTAGGCGGAGTAAACAAAACAGAATGCTGGGAAGAGGGCTATGAGGCAGAAGCCATGGAGCCAGTCACCAGGTCAGACATGCTGAATCTTTTCCGGTAAGCCACCACCTTGTGGTGCTATACAGATTATTAGAAATGGGTTAATCAAGATGTGAGAGTTAGCCAGTAACTAACTCTCTAGAGATAATGGGTCAGGCAGTATTTAAATGAATACAACTTATGTGTTGTTATTTCTGGGACTAAGCTAGCCGGGTGAGGCGAAAAGCAGACCTGCCCTGCAGTTCCTTACTACAGTGTATGCCATCTACATAGGGGCATACTTATTTATTCAATAATTAGACTTGAAGTTAAAAATTGTATCCATTGCAGAATTGATTTTCTGTCAACAAACAAAAACATTGTGGAGTTCTTGAGTGAACAAGTAGAGCTAATGTCAATTAGCAGTGATTCTTCAAATTGTTTCTTTGTTGTTGTTGTTGTTGTTTTTTTAAATTCCTGGCTAGTATGTCTCAATAATGGGCTTAAAATTGTCTGCAAACCATGTTATAAACAGACATGATATCATCTGGGCTTTGTTCCATTTACAGAGTATAGACAGAATAGATTTAGTGTAAATCTCAAGGGCCCTAGGCTTTTCAGAAGGGTAAATGAGCATTGGCTTCAGTGTAAAACCTCCAGGTTCATTAAGCCCTAGCAAGAAAATCAGTCTGGCTTTTGAAGCTTTGACAAAGGCATTGACATCTGTCTGGCTATAAAGTCGGACATGGCATCTTCCAGTCAACGGCTGTTGCATCTGTGCTGAAAGCCTGCTGGCTAGGGTAGCCACCGGCATCCTTTATCTTTCCTAGACCTTAGGGATAAACTTGCTGCATCTTCTGCATCAGCACTCAGGGAGCCGCTGTGCCCTTGGATATTGTGAAGACAACTTCATTCTCCAAACGGAATGAAACACCCCTGCTAGCATCAAATTTGCCTTCTGTGGGGCCTTTACCTTTCTCAATTTTCAAAAAACTGAGGCTAATTAAGACCTTGTTCTGGGATTAGGCTTTGGCTATGGGGAACAGTATGCTGTGTTGACTTTCTTTTCAGACCAATAACTTTCTCCATATTAATAACAAAGCTATTTTAGGTTGTTTGATTATCATTTATGTTAATTCCCTTTAGAAAGTTATTTTCCAGTGTGTTTTTTATTTGAAAGTTTTAACAATAAAACTAAAAAATAATCATCTTTTTAAAACTTTTCCTCTGTCTTTACAACCTAAGTGGTAGCTTTCGGTGTGCCTGTGCTTTCTACATGCCAACCTTTCTAGCACTTGGTTTAGGGAGTGAGGGAGAGAGAGAGAGAGAGAGAGAGAGAGAGAGAGAGAGAGAAGAGGAGATTCATCTTTCATGTGGGAACTTAAGAGACCTCCATGTGTGAGCTTAAGGGCTTAATTTCATTACTGTGTCTTGTCTTAGGGGCTCTAGGGAGACACGGGTAGATGAACCAGTCAGGATCCAGACGATGCTAATGGGTTAGGCCTGCCATCTTATATGAGCATGATTTGTGGCCCTCAAAAACAATGACAGCAGCAACATCAGTGCTGACTGATCCCAAATTACTGTACCAGTCATGACGAGGATGCTGGGAAGTCTGTGAGAATTGCTAAGATGTGACCTAGAACCCTGTCATGGTCACAAGCGGGTGGGAAGAGGACCGATAAATAGACCTGCTTCCTGCAGTTGTCAGAGTTTTAGTTTGTCGGGAGATTTAAAAAAAAAAGCAATTATCTGGAAAGCCCAGTAAAACCAACCACAATAAAATGAGGTATGCCTAAACTGCACTTGTGCCATGAGTATAAATAACGTAAACGCCGTGACAGTTCTAGGCAACTGTGCTTATGTTTTGTTTTCTCCCCTTGATAAAGTCCATACGACTGGGAAATTTTCCACTGGGCTGTAAATTCCTTGGAGCAAAGGCTCTTCTCTTCTTACGCGTCCTCAATTAGTACACGCCATGCTGCTTTTCAGTGAAAAGTCATTAATAAATTAAACCTACAATTGTAAGTGCTTAGTATGATGCGGGCATGGTCCTTGGCATTAATCAGCCATCCTCCCATTCATCCCTTCACCCAGCTGCTCAAACGCACCCCACACCATGTACTCAACAGGTTATAAACAGACATGAGACGTGAACAAAGGAGAGATACAGCTCAGGTGCTCGGGACTCTAAACAGATAACAGAGACATGCAGCTGCT